GGAGAAAAACCAAAAAAAAAAAAAAAAAAAGAATATATATTTCCTATAAATCTACCAATCAGAAGAAATTGTTCTTTCTACTGCCTATACAGCGTATCTTGGTTCACAAACTTGATTCTCTCCACAATTCTGGTTGCAAACCAAGTTAAACAAGAACCATACCAAATTCCACGGTTGGGTTCAATGTTGACCTTATGGGGAAAGTTCTCATCCAGTTCAGTTTGTGGAAAGAACTGAGTTCATGAACTGAGGCACCACTGCATTTAATCTACATATTTTAGAAAATTAGGTTCCTCCTAACTATAGTACCTAACATTTTCACTTAATTTTTTATGGGCGTTTCCTCACTACTTACACATATAACTATAAATATATCTACAACATGTGGAAACAAACTACTCCAGACCAAGTTTTAAACATGACCTGAAGTAAAGTCCTCTATTAGGGTACGGTTAGTCACACAAATCTGTAATTATTTGCTTTGTTCAAAACTGAGTAGGAATTAATTTCTTCTCTAGAAAAAATAAGACTGTTTATAACAGAAACTACCTTGCTCTGTCCAAAAATTCTTTTGTCCTGACAAAAATGTATAGTACTAATTATAAAAAATAAGTTATAAATGATCCCTAATTTATTTCTTAAACTATAAAGAGCATAGGAAAGAAAGCTAGAAAAGACAAACTAAAAAATAAAGCTACTTTCTTAGTAGCAGGATTTTTTCTTCAGTGGTAACTGGTATTACTTTTGGAATTGAAAAAGATAGCTTTATATTAAGAAAATAGCATCAAGCTGTGTGTGGCGGCACACGCTTGTAATACCAGCACTCAGGAGGCTGAAGCAGGACTGCCCTGAGTTCAAGGACTGCCCTGTAATTCCATCTTGGACTACACAAGCGAGTTCAAGGCAACCTGAACTACACTGAGATGCTGTCTCAAAAAAAAAAACAAAAAACAAAAAACTAAGATCAGTGTTCTAAATGTAACACAGCAAGGGTGTGAACAGTTCATGTATTTGACAGTAAGACTTGTTTTTACATCTATGCAGAATCCACACTACAATAAACTGTACTTACTTGTCTTTGTTAAGTCTTTGTTCCTTCACTCAGTAATTACTAAACTTCTGTTATGTGCCAGGCACTGTCCTGGGTACCAAGGATTTGGTAATAAGCAAAACAGATGATACTGCAATCCCTCTTTGACATTTGAACGAAAATATACTTTTATCGGCAATACAAACACAAGTACACAACACACAGTTCTACTTTCAAGGATGATCAGAAAAGTAAAGGACAAAGAGGAAGACAAAACTACACCGGAACAGACAATTGTTTTAGTCAGCGCAGGCTGCTAAGAAAGTGATACTGTATTTAAGCAGAGTCCTGAATGAAGTGAGGAGGGAAGTGTCTAGGGAGAAGGAATAGAGAGAAAAGACTGCAATGTTACGAGTTTAGGATGCACACAACAGCAAGAAGGCCGGTGTGGTGAGAATGACATGAGCAAGGGGAAAACCAAATGTCAAAGAGGGATTGCAATATCATCTGCTTTGCATGCGATGATGTAGGAGAGGTAGCTGGAGGACAAGTCCGAGGGCCTCAGCGGTCCAGATGGGGACTCTGAATTCACTCCAACAGTGATACTATGACACTGAAGTCTTACAACGATCACTCTGCTGCATGCACAACAAACTATGTGAGCTAGTGAAGGGAAAGAGACAGGAAAACCTGTGAGGGTGCAGGAACCCAAGCAAGACACACTAACGGCTCAGAATACAGCACTGGGTAAGAGGACGCCATGTGTGCTGCCACGTTCCACGGCTGCTCCAACACAACGGCTGATGGGTGACGTGTGAGAAGCAGACAGTCACGGACGATTCCTAGCTGCCTGACCGAAGCAACTGGCGAACGGTGCTGCCATACTAAGCTGCGCTGATTGGTAGGGAATTACGTCTGAGTGGCAGAAATCAAGAAGCCTATTTTGGACATGGTAACTGTGAGGCGCCCATTCAACATTCAATCAAGTCAAGGCCCTTAAGACAGCAGATCTGTAAGTCAGCTGTTTGGATGTAAGCTGAGGTTGAAGATTTGATTCCAGCCGTGCCTCAGTTCATGAATTAAATTTGTTCCATGATTCTGGAAAAGATGTTTATCACCTGATGCAGTTCACAAACAAAAACAAAATTTTGCCAAATGCTTCTGTTTGCAAACCAAACTGTTTACAAACAAAAATGTCCATGAACCAAGGCATCACTGCAGTTAAAGGTATGGACTATAGAGCACCTGCTAGGCACACAAGCAGAAGGAAAACAGAAGAGGGCTACAGATGGCCCTGAGGCCCGTCAGCATTAAGAAGGTGACAGGCAAGACCAGTGAGGCACCTCAGAGGCCACGAGGAGTAGACAGGGATCCGTTGAGGTGTAGCTTCTAATAAGTAAGTTAAGGATTGGATTTGGTGACTGTGATAAAGGTGGCTTCAGTACAGCAATGCAGAAGAAAATTTTACATATGTTCAAGAAAGAACTGGAAGACAACTGGTACAGAAAACTCTCATGGTGTCTTACTTTAGGGTTGATACAGGTAACTCCGGTATCGTAAGTATCTCCCCAGCTCTCGGCATGCAGTAACTGAACCGAGTTACAGAATGAATGTCAAATCTGAAAAGCCCTAGTACTTCAACTAAAGTAAGACACCCAAACAGCCAAGAGTTCAAGAATTTCTCACATGCCCCACTTACTCCTAGCCTTCACAAGTGAGAACGAACTGCAGAAACATGAGATTCTTTCTCTTTACCCTGCATGATTACACAACATTTTGATTAAAGGCTGAACGAAGAAACAGAGGAAGAGCCTTCCCTTCTGCTCCCTAATTTCCTAAAAGTTATGTTTAACTAAAAGTTAAAAGAGAAATTAACATGTTAGCCAGGCATCTCAGCTATAATCTCAGCAGTGAGGGAGGCTGAGGCAGGAGGATAGCAAGTTTGAGCCCAGCCCTGGGCAACTCAGGGACTTAGTAAGCTACTGGTTTAATCCCCAGAACCAAAAAAGAAAAGTGAAAAATGTCACCAAGGAGTTTAAAAAACAAAAACAGAAACAAAAGCTGAGTTTGGTGGCACATGCCTGTAATCCCAGCACTTGGGAGGCTGAGGCAGGAGGATCACTGTAAGTCCAAGGCCAGCCTGTACTACACAATGAGTTCAACGCCAGCCTGAACTATATAGTGAGACCCTACCTCCAAAAAACAGCAGTCTGGTCACTTAAAGTATTTCAAACCCTCTGCTAAGATCTTATAAGCACCAAACATTTCCATACGGCAGTTATTTTTCTCTTTCTCAAAGTACAGCACTGAAGCCCTTTGAGGAACAGACACATACCCAGAATACTTAGTTTCCTACCTGACATAACATCTTCCGCTAATTCCTTTTCTCTTTCAATTTTTTCCTCTAGAGTTGAAATGCAGAATTCATAGCCAGCAAGAGCAAATTCCTGTCTGTGAAACAAAGATCAATAACCAGTCATTTGCCTCAGACTCTTCTTTTGACCTCATCTTTTCCATCTCAGTAAAACAAAGAGGGACCTTGCTCAATGTCTCTTCAGGCTATCACTCTACCATTGCTCAGAAGTTTTGTTTTTTCTAAAGTCACCAACTTCAGGTAAATTAATACATAAAAAGGTAAAAGTGCTGCCAAAATTTTTATAACTGGTGTAACCAGTAATCTGTCAGCATCCCCCATTAACAGAGTTTCACATGCGTCAGTTTCTCCACCTAAGTTATTCCCTGTGTGGCAATGTCTCTCGCCTGGTCAACTACCAGCCTGCAGAGAGCGAGGCTCAGGCCCCTCAGTGGAGGTGAATCAGCTCACTCATGCACAGGAGGACCCACTCTAGGCCCTCATGCAGCTTCTCAGGAGCTCTGATCACTTGGTAAAAGTCTCCTACAGAACTAGAACTCTTTAGCTATGGTATGGGAAGGTATTTAGGCCAACTCTATAGCCCTGGATTCACAGTCAGCTAGTGAGGGCATCCAAGGAGCAGATTCACTCTGCTGCCCATTTCCATAGAGATGCAGAGGAGCACAGCAGAAAATTCCTTCTCCACACAGGAGCCCAGCTTGCATCCTTGCTTTTCTTACAGAAGTGCCACTACAAACCTCATTATTTTCTAGTGCTTTACAAGAGGAGCTCCGATGGTCTTGCTGCTCTATTCTGTTCCCAGAAGAATGGAACTGTCTGCTTCCTACACTGCACTCAAACCTTAAGGGACCAGCTCTGGCCAGGATATGAGGGAGAAGGAGGAAGCCATAAGAGGCCCCCAGTGAGGGAAAAAGGTCTACAAACAACTCTCTTTCCTACTCCTATCCGACTCTCTCAGTCTCAGGACCTAGCTGTGGCTTTCTTAAAAATCTCACGTTTCTGCAAAGTATAGAGTAACTTAAGAGGCTAATTAATGGATACCTCAATGGCTCTGACTGCTACAAGACCAATTATGAATCTTACTTGTCAGTGTTACTTGTTGTGGGCTTCTTATTCCAGCTCAGACTTCATCCTGTTTGATACTCCTCTATGAAAACTGACCCTAGCTGCAATGCTCCTTGGTACCAGCTAAACTCAAAGCTCCTCAAAAGACCTGAAGCCAAAGGCTCTCAGAAGTCCTGGCCTACCGAGTGTAAAACCACGTTGCAGGGAGAATAAGAGGGTCCTGCTAAGAATGAAGGAGCTCGCTGCTGACTAGGACAGCAGGGACCAGTGTGTTGAAACCAGAAGGCTTCTGGTTTCAACGAGCACCTTTGTACAATATTCAGCTTGGTATATCACTTTGAACCTCCACCATCAACTTCTGCAGCACTAACATCCTAAAGGAAGCGAGCCTTAGTTCTCTCTCTAAATTGACCCTCAAAATATAAATCTCTAGAGGAGTTTTCTGATATACTGTGCTTCATCTTTGAATTCCACCTACAGACTAACAGGAATGAAAGACCCTGTCAGTGTTCACAGGTTCTGGATCATACCCAAAGCTTTCCTGTAGAGCTGGCTGACTCTTCTTTATAACTTAGATTCAACAACTATCTTAAAAGTTGCACCCATTTCCCGACTGACTTATCCAAAGGGCGCACCCCACCACCACCCCTGCCCCGTTTCTGTCTATTTTCTCTTCCAGAAAGCCAGCTATCATCATCTCTACATCTTCTAAAGGCAGTGGTCAAGTCATTTAAACAGAACATCTTAATTTTAAACCCTCTGTTGAGGCCTTAAAAATAGTCATGTATTTTCTACAATGGATAACAAAATAAGCAACAAGACACTCCCATAGTGACTCTCACTACTTACCTTCACACCTGACTTCCTCTTTTGCTGATGCCTGTATCTGTGCTGTGGCTTCTTCAAAGACCACCATCCCCTACAGCTTTTCTCTTGTTCTCTCCACTGCAGAGCTAACTACAGTTCCCACTCTAACTTCCCATCTCCTTTCAAACCAGAACAGAAAACTGATTATAGCTTTATCACAGTGCAGTCTGATGTGTGAGAACTGTGCTTCACATGGCAGGCTAATGCAAAAACAGCAAGAGTAAAATGGGAAAAGCTGTAAAACTGCAAAGGTGAGGGATCGGACAATTAAGAGTATGACACCCAATTTTCTGGAGCCCACAGATAACTTGTAGGTAAATGATTGTGTAACACTCCATGGGTCAGCAATTTCTGCCCACAGTGTTATTCCCTGACTGCTAAATTCTGACTACTTACCTATTCTGAGCAGCATAGATACTGGCCAACTTGAGGGAGATTTCAATTATTGCATTGTCTTCCTGTTTGGACAAAGAAAAAGAAATTCATGACAAGTAAAGTTTTCTCACGGAATATTAATCATCAACTTCTAGGCTGCCTTTGGCTTCGAAGTCACAGTCTATTTTTTTAGGGGAATTAGCCAACTGTGAATTGCTCAGCAACCATGCTTCTGAAATAGTGAAAGAGTAGCCATTTTCATAAAGATCTAGGGGGGAAAAAAAAATCTACCACTTTTGGTGAAAGCAGTATGTTGGAGGACAGAAGAGTTTTCAGGAAATTTGACTATTCTGCAAACTGCTTCAGTGAGGGACCAGTAGTACACGATGTCCTTACCTGCTTCATACCTGCTCCGAGCAGGTGGCTCATTGTTGCTTTAAAAAGTTGCTCTGCCTAAAAACATAAGGAAAAGATTTGTCTTTTACTTGTGCCCCATTATCTATTATGACTATGAATTTTAAGTAGCACTCTGATGTACCATTCCTTGTAAACACACACACTAACAAATACGGCAAACAATACCCTGTGAAAGGAGAATGAACCAAATGTCAGGAACCCATGTCCTGTGTACTCTAAGCTACTCTTTGATGAGCAGAAACCAACTTCAGAGATTAACTTCTCATCCAAAGTGCTGCAGAAGAGACTTCCAATTGTGCCGATATTCCACCCTCCTATCACTTTAGTAATAAAATTCTCTTGATTTTTAGCAGATCAGCTTTTCTTTTAACAGAGTAATCATATTAAGTCCTGACCAAGAATTGCAAGTAGAAGGAATATGAACAACTTTTAAGCCATATTTTATAAGGATGCTGACTGCCCTTCATCCTCTTTTTCCTTGTAAGGCTGGAGGTGAATCAACTCACCCACGCACAGGAGGACCTATCTTAGAAAACACCTTGCTTCTGCACCAGACACCAGCGATGCCCAAACTGCCCTTCAGTGGTTAGCCTACCCATAGACCAAAGCATTAAAAAAAGAAAAAAATTTTTTAAAAACCCTGTATTGTAGGGTCTCTTTATGACAGGAGCTCAGCCTATATTCTTACTGCTACAGTTCCCTGGAGGATAGCACTTCACAAATTCAAGATTTTTTTTTTTGAGATACAGTTTCAATAGTACAAGGTGGCCTTAAACTCACTATGTAGACTAGGCTGGCCTCAAACTCAAGGCAATCCTCCTGCCTCAGCCTCCCAAGTGTTGGGATTACAGGCATGCACCACCACGCCTAGCTACAAATTCAAGATATTACAAGATAATTTACTTACATTTTCAAGTTGACCTCGTATAAATGCTAGGTTGGCCATCTGAAAGCAAATTACAAATTGTTCAGTTTAGAACATTGTGTTCTTTTTTTTTTTTTTTTTTTTTTTTTGGTTTTTCTCCGGTACCGGGAACTGAACTCATGACCTTGCACTTGCCAGGCAGGCGCTTTGCCACTGAGCTAAATCCCCAGCCCCCAGAACATTGTGTTCTTATTTTAAAACCTTTAGGCAAAGCATTTCCTTTTGCTTTCACCCCTAAATTAAAATGATAGTTTAAAGTGGAGAAAGTACATCACCAGTTAATCTGCTAGCTCAGTACAGCAATGGTGTGATAAGTAAATACTTTGTTGCATATACTCTACTGATAACCAAATCTAGCTCTACTCATTATTTTTTTTGGTTTCGGTACCAGGAATCAAACTCATGACTTTGCGCTTGCCAGGCAGGCACTGTGCTGCTGAGCTGTATCCCCAGTCCTCTATTCATTACTGAAGCAACAATTGAGACATCTCTTCTAAGTGAACCTGCCAGGGATTTAAAAAACAAGAAAAAAAAAAGCGTAGGATGTCCTCACCATAAAGGTTAGGAACATAAATCAACAAATAATCCTTCCCCGCATCCACCCTTCCTCATCAGTAGCTCTGAGTGGTTAGGACAATTACCAAATCGTAAGTGTAAGTAATAGCCTTCTTGTTATCAGTCTGATAGGCAAGTCGAAGAGCGTCATGCAAAATTAGCTCAGCCTCTTCTGGCTCATCTTTCATGATGCTCAACTAAAAAGGGAAGACAAAATAATATTAAGTGAAATACAAGTATAACAGATGCAATTGCTATTGGACAATGTAGATGTAGATATGTACCCCAATACATAGAAAGAAGCTACTCATCAGGTATTTACTGAATGCCTACTGTACAGGAAGCCTTATGACAATGCAGGTGACAAGCGAGATCAGCCTCCCATGCAGCAAAGTGCGGCCACATAATGAAGTTCTGCCCAACGGACGCAGGCAGAAAGAACGTGAGTAATCTTTACATTATATTTCATAAGGAAACTGCTTGCCCTTCACCCTGTTTTCCTCTTCCTGAAGGCTAGAGATCTTGTGGGAAAAGTAAGCTTGATTACAACCCATGATAAAGAGTTATAAAAAAACAAAAGCAAAAGGAGTGAGGGTCTCCTCCAATGGGAGTCAGAAAAATCTTTTAAGAAAGTGAGCTAAACTAAGGAAGAATGAAAATGAGTCAACTAAATAAGGAACTGGAGCAAAGAATGAGTCAAAGGGAATGAATATAGCCCTACAGGCCAAGAAAATGGTTCTTTAGAAGAAATATAAGGAAAGAGATGCGAAAGAATGACAATGATAATGACAATTACCTGGAGTATTACTGTGAAATAGGTGAGAAAGGCTGTTTAAATTATGTAGAGCTTTGTAGCCATGGAAGGGATCTTAAGATTTTACCCTAAGTAAAATTCAGAGGAATTTTAGTAGGAATTCAGAGTTGTCAGGCAAGAAGGTGATATAATCTCATTTACATTTTTTAAAACACCACTTAGTTTGCTGTATGCAGAATGAATTGTAGAGGGATTGTGCAGCTTTGCTTTCAGGTCAGGGGAAATAGAGTTTTTGAACAGATGTGGGAAATAATTTTGGATTTGGTGGCACTAGGAATTATTGTTGTGTATTGGAAAACAACGTTAAGGTCAAGTTTTAAGAATGACTATGAGGTCAGGTGTGGTGGCACCAGCACTCTGGGAGGCTGAAGCAGGAGGGTCCACACGAACGCGAGGCCAGCCTGGACTACCTAGACACTTCACGGCCAGCCTGAACTACATAGTGAGACCCTGTCTCAAAAAACAAAAACAAAAACAAAACAAAACAAGAAAGAACGACTATGAGGTTTCTAAGCCAAAAAACTCACGGTAGTAAACAGGGAGAGTGGAAGAATGGGTTGGGGAGACACTTAAAATCAGGAGTGTACTTTTGGGCACACCGAGCCTGAGAAGTACGGGGCCTCCCCGCGGAGTGGCACTGCAGCAGCACACTGCAGTCCGAGAATATCAGTTCGGCCACTGTTGGCATCATTAGTATTTAGCCCAATGAAACAGAGGCGCTGTCCTGAAGAGAAGAAAAAACAGGACGCGGACAAAAAGAACTTAGAAAAGAAGCAAGCTGCACAGTCAACACCAAACTCCATTTTCAGGGTGCCATATACAAAATATGCGCAAAATGTCATTTCAGGGGGGCTGATGAACTGATACGCACAACTACAAAACATTCCCGATACTATGAAAGAGTGATGCCCAGGGGGCCGCCTCCATCCACACTGGAGACCGCAGCAGCTTCGCTCGGCGGCTTTAGAGACAGACCGGCCCGGCCGGATCCCAACCCCCACACCTGTGACCCACGTAATTCTGGGGAATTTAACCTCGGGACGGTCACCCCCTCTTCGCTAAACTGCAGAAAGCAATGCGCAGCAGCGAGCGCGCCAGGCTTCGTCCACAGTGACTCCGCGCTCGCCGAGCTGCCTCACCTTGGCCCGTTTCAGCAGCCGGATGATCTCCGCCTCGGCCTCATTCGCCGCGTCCTCGATGGCGACCCCGCCTGCTCCCCGCTTCTCCTCCCCGTCTGCCGCAGCAGGCCTCGAGAACCAGGCGAGCGCTGCGGGAAGGGGCTCTGAAGTCACCGCCCCCGGCCCTCGCCCCCGGCCCCGCCCGGC